AGATTTAGGAAACTAGGTATTGCATGCCCTGTATTAATGTACTCTTTCTAACAACTACCAGGATACACATCTAGCTTAACAAGTTGGGTTTAATACTATTGCTGTGCAGGCACACACCATGGGGAACAGTGGTGTGTCTCGGCAAGAAGGAGTTAGAAAGGACTTGAAGGATTTAGACTTTGGTTAAGTGATATTGGGAAGGTTCAAGGAAGAGGTGATTCATTCCAGATTGGGTGCTGTCAAGGAAGCAGGGATAATTTTATGGGTATCTTTTATCTAGAATGAAGGTAGACTAGAGCAAGGCTAAGGTTGTAACTGGCAAAAAAGTACAGCTGTCACTCATCACCTGGGAGAGGAGATGTGTAGTATTTTGTGGTTTGCACACAGACCTAGTTGCTTAAAATTATGAAGTGGTCTTGTTTTTTTGTCTCACTTCATAGTGACTGATGTTGGTATCTGTAAGCCTGTGTAGAACATCATGGTCTAGCTGTGAGAGCCAGATGAGCTCCTAATAACCCTAGAGTTTAGCTGGGGAAGACCAGTTACCAGATGTAAAGAGCTGCTTTCCTCTTTCTCACCTGCTAAGTCATTGCAGATAAAAAATTCTGGGTCAGTTAATATAAGAGCTTGGTGGAATTAGAACGGTAGTTTTACCCAGCAAATTGTATTAGTACATTTATGTTACAGAAGTCTCTAGTGATGTAGTCATATGTCCAAGGGCCATGCCTTATTAAAAACAAAAATAATTTGGGTAAACATGTAAAAGCCCATTATCAACAGTAATGAGGAAAGTACTAAATAATACTCAAAGTGTCTGTCAATTGAATTGACTGGAAAACACTGGGCCTCCCACTGTTAACATTTCATTAGCAATAGCTCACATAACAACCTAGCAGAACTTCCAATTGTCTGCAAAATTTAAATCTTGGGCCCTCATTAATGTCTCAATTAGCATTTATTAAGGAGTCTGCTATTTTGTTTACCCATGGGGCATTCTTGGCCCTTCTTATTGTTATTAATTGCCATCCAGTCAGTTCCAACTCGCAGCGGCCCTGCATAGAGTTTCCGAAGAGCAGCTGGTGAGTTTGAACTGCTGACTTTGTAGTTCAAACCCACTTTGTGCTTATCGTATAGCGCCAACCAGGGTAATATGCTCATGAGTTGTAGTCATGGGTTGTACATACAGTTCTTATATGTTATGCTCATATGTGGAAACACTTTTGAATATTAGGGTTTTAAGAAGGCCATTGACAAAAACAGTGGTATAACTGAAGAAAAATGCCATGAGAAGATTTCAGGGAAATCCAATAGATGGGCTACCCTGTGGAGGAAAGAACAAAAGGGTCTGTGTTGCTACTTAGTAGAGAAAAAGGAAATTCTAAAAGTGAACATTTACCAGCTTAATGTTAGTTAACACTTATTGTTACACTGTAGGATAAGCACTGGATTGCAAGGTCCCTTTGAACTGCCAGGTCAGCAGCTCAAACTCACCAGCAGTTCCTCAGAAACCCTATACAGGGTTCCTATGAGTGAGAACCGACTGAATGGCATATAACAGCAACAACAACAGTAAAAGCCAAGACATTGTTCTAGGCACTTCATATGTAATGATACAATTTACTTTTAAGTGCCTTCAAGTGGGTTCCAACTCATAGTGACCCTGTATAGGGTTTCTGAGGAACAGCTGGTGGGTTTGAACTGTTGACCTTGTGGTTCACAGTGTAGTGCTAATCCTACAGCGCCACACCAGGAGTCCATTGATATACAATAGGTACTATTATTATACCCTTTTTGCATATGGGAAAGCAAGCTCAAGAGTAATAACTTGCCCAATATTCCAGGGTCCTGGAGTGGAGTTGCAGGATAAGGCGCTGGACTATAAGGTCAGCTTGAACCTCAGGGTCAGCAGTTCAAACCCATCAACTGCTCCTCAGAAATTTTATAGACAGTTGCTATGGGTTGGAACTGACTCCACGGCACATCACCACCACCGCCATGTGTCAGAACTGAGTCAACAGCACTTAACAACAGTGAGGAATGGTCTTAGGATTCTAGTCAGGCAGTTTGACCACAGAGTTGGTATAAGAAAGTTACCATAATAGGCTAACTGACAATGGGACTACAACTTTGAAGTACCTTGAAATAACACAGAAGAAATTTTTGAAAATCTTATTGCCCTTTCTAGGCTGGGATTAGAATACCACATCTCTGACCCTCTGTCTCTCATAGGAGACAATTATTGTTTACGTATAAATGCAGATAATATATCCAGGAAGTTTCAGTACAATCTCACCTCACTTATGCCCCACCCTTTAAGATATTTCTCTAATAAATGAACCAGCCCTTCCTGTGATCCACTACCTACTTATCACCACCAGGTGGCACCTGACCACAGTATTGTCAATGGGCAGGGACCCACCCTGTTTACTTGTTCTGGTGCCTGCATTGCAGCTGCTGAGCCGTGGCTCCTGGGCCCCAGCTGGGATGAGGCCTTCCCAAGGGTGAGCTTTCATCCCATATACACCATTTTCAATAGGAGGTCTGATGCGCTGCATGCGGTGAGGAAGGAGAGGTTTGGAATGGAACCTCCCTAACCCTCTACACTCATCTTCCCTACACTAAAACGTCAGTTTAGAGAGGTTACCCTGTTAAGTTTCTTTGGTTTTTCTAGTACGTTGCTAAGGGCCATCAAGTTGCTTCCAACTCATTGCAACCCTGTCTGATGAATTTGAACCCCCGACCTTGCGGTTCAAACCAACCTTTCAGTCCATGGCTTATCCTACAGCACCACGCTGGGACTCCTTTTCTAGTACAGTTCTGCTTTATTAGTTGGCAAGCAGATCATACCTCCTCTAAGCTCGTTGGGTCCCTTTTCTACTTGCTCACTACTGGGGTTATGAAAGATTTGGGAGACAGAAAAGTGTTCCTTATACACTTTAATTGTATAAGTGTTTATACAGTTCTGTGAACTGAATATAGCAGCTAGGTACCGTCAGCCATGGGGAAGGGAAGTAGAAAAAAAGGAAGTGTGAAAACAGGAGAGTGAGTGGGCGGATCAGGTTTTAAGTAGCTTTGATGAAACACAGCCTGATGAAATCTATGCCCTGCAGAGTCAGACAATTTATTAGCTGTAGATCTAGTCTCTCCCCAACAATCAACCCAGGCTACCCTGCTGCATCAAACAGTAACACAATAGACCCTACATATAGGAGTCCTGGTGTGGCACTGTGGGTTAATGTGCTGGACTACAAAGTTGGTTTGAACCACTATGGGTCAAAACTGACTCGAAGGCACTTAACAACAACATACTGCATTAAAAGGAGCTCTGGTAGTGTAGTGGTTACAAGTCCAGGCTGCCAACCCCAAGGTTAGCAGTTTGAAATTATCAGCTGTTCCCTAGGAGACAGATGAGGCTTTCTGCTCCCTTAAAGGAAATCCTATACTGGATCACTATGATTCACAACCGACTCCACATCAAATAACCACCACTACCATACTGCATAGAGCTCTGGTAGCGTAGGTTACAAATCGGGCTGCGAACCTTAAGGTCAGCAGTTCAAAACTACCAGGCGCTTCGCGGGAGAAAGATGAGGCTTTCTACTCCCATCTAGATTTACAGCCTTGGAAACCCTGTACAGGGTCGTTACGGGTCGGAATTGTTTCAACGACACAACAACAACCATATGCTCCTTTGAACCTCTATACAGGGTCTCTATGAGTCGGAACCGACTGGACAGCACATAACAATACTGCATTAAATTAAATTCTGTCTCCACCTAGTGTCCAACCTACACCTCTCCTGCTTCCAAGTAGTTTTTAGGTCCCCAGACAACCGCCTACCTCTAAGGTATTACTAACAGTAATAGTCATTAGTGTATCTGCACTCTTCCTTTCCTGAACCTACACAGTACAATCTATCCATTAGTTCTATCCTGACTATATCCCCAATTTCCCAATGAGTCATCTCACTACTCATGGCTTCATCTAAATGTCCTAAGCACTTCCTCAGGGTCAGAAAATTCTTAGAAAAACGTAATTTTTCCTGCAGTTGAACCCTCAGTTATGGAGACAATTTTTTAAAAAGAGGATTTAGTTACAATCTGCCCTCAGTAGAAATACAAATAGGTAATTCTTGGAGTTTGAAAGAAATAAAGCTTCACTTCCTATTCATTACTCTGCTGTACCACCACTCCTGTCCCCACTCCACAAAAAAGTTGGATCATCCCAAGTTCATAATTCTCTGATTTTCCATTTTTTACTAGCCTCTCATTACACTACGCAGTCAAGATATGGAGCTGGGAACTAGATAGGGGAGGTCAGTCAGCAGTTGTTTTCATTCCAAATAGGGTAATTCTCTTTAATTTTGTAAGGACAGCCGGGGAAAAAAAACTGAAGGATAAAGAATGTTCTTTATGAAACATGAAAACTAGGGAATGCTGACAATTGAACATACAGGAATCCCAGAAGCAAATCCTTCCAAACTGTCCAAATGGGGTGCAAGATCCCATCCTCCACAACTCCCCAACTTCGCAACTCCAGCTGCGGCTACTAACGAGTAACAGGCTGTGCGGCTCTGCATGACGTCATACCAGAGGCACTCCAATCTCACGTGTGGGGAGCTCCTGGTCCCGCCTCTCCTCTTTAAATGGTATACCACGCCCTCCTTCACTTCTCACCAATCAAATGCTGTTCTCTAGGCCTGTTCCTCCTTTTCCCTCCATCCGGACCTCCCACCTTAGCACTCTAGTCCAATCAAGGAGGCCCCGTCCCTCTGAAGCCCTTTCTTTCTCTTCTCCAAGATGTAGGGGCGGAGTTTCGACCTTTTGACTCCACCTTGGACTATCAGCCGCGAACCAACCCGAACCGCCAGAGAAGGGGGCGTGGCTTGAAGTCCCTTCCTCCATCCTGGGGAGCACGGTTTACTGAGGGTAGCTGGCGGCAGGAGTAGGCGACCTCCCGCCGGGTCTTTGGTTCGGGCGCGTCTTCTCTGAGGTGGCACCATGGAGCGTTCTCCTGTCAAGGGCTCCAACTCCATCTCCGTGGACCAGCCCTCTGCTCCTTCCGATCCCCCAGACCAGCCCCAAGTGGCTCACACAAAGCTGGACCCCGGTTCTGGGGGCCAACCTGCCGGACCAGGCGCAGCGGGAGAGGCCCTGGCGGTGCTGACTTCGTTCGGGCGGCGGTTGCTGGTGCTGGTGCCGGTCTACCTGGCCGGGGCAATGGGACTCAGCGTGGGTTTCGTGCTCTTCGGCCTCGCCCTCTACCTAGGATGGCGCCGGGTTCGCGACGAGAAAGAGCGGAGCCTGCGGGCAGCGCGGCAACTCCTGGACGACGAGGAGAGGCTCACGGCTAAAACACTCTATATGAGCCATCGCGAGTTACCTGCTTGGGTGAGCCACCACCCCCCAGCCCTCAGTGCAGCAGAGCCTTACAGTCCCTCGGTTTGGGGCCTCTCCCATCATGTCCCCAAAGTTAGCCCCACCTGGGAGAGTGGGTCCCCCTTGACGCCTGCCTGCTGAGACGCGCCACTTTGGGGACCAACTGCCGGCTCCTTCCGCCCTCACCACGCCTTTCTGCACGCCCAGATCCGGAGCCTTCCACAGAACCAGGACTTCTTCCTTACTCTGCTCCTGGGCAAAAGCATTAATAACATCGGGATCCGGTCTCCTCCAAATCGCTCCCTTCTAGCCCAGCCGTCCAGACGCCTGCCTCGCTTCTGGTGCCTGTCGAGCCTCTGCTGCTCTAGGGCATCCCCCGTTCCCGTAGCGGCTCAAAGGGTTCCCTCGTCTCTCCTCCCCTCCCCTCTCATCACGACTTTTTAAAAATCTACTTAAGACCTTAAGGTTCTTCTCCGTTTCCCGCTCTCTCTCCGAATCCCCGCTGGGACCCAGCTCCGGGATCACTGCCCTGCTAAGCCCAGAATCTGATGGACCCTGAGTCCTCGCCTTGCAGTCTGGGCCCGGCTGCAGCTCAGCGGAGGCGGCTGCGGGACAAAGGGCGGGGGTGCTCGTGGAGGGGAGTGCGGCTGCTGCAGTGCCCGCTGCCCATCCGCCCCCGCCGGCCCCACCCTTCCCCTAAGTGGTTGAGGCGGTGACCCTTATTTCTGTGCCTCTTCTCCTGCTGTGAGAGGCCGGATGCCTTCTCTGAGCCCGTTACCCGCCCCCGCCCTGCTCCTCCCTTCAGCGGTACAAATCTAGGGGAAGAATAGCAGAAGAGAGAAATCAAAGTTGGCACTAGGCAGGCACAGCCATGCTTCCCAAGCGCTGGTCTGGGGAGGAAAAATGGTCCCAGGGGACTTGTGACCCAGGCAGAATCAATTGACTTTGTTCGTCCTCCTCATCATGGAAATTAATCATCCTCTCCTCTCCATAAAGGAAACACAGGTGTCTTTCTTTTCCCTAAAAAGAATCACACTGATAGGAAGAAAGGGAGAAACAAAACAAAAACGTACCGCCAGGGCCTGAATAAATAGTTGATCTCTCCCAGACTCTAGAGCAGCTTCCCTCTGCCTTTTTGATGTAAAAACTGCCATCAGTGGGGAGGAGGGAAGGCTGAAAAAAGGAACCTGGACTTCTCCAATTCCAAGAATCCCTCTTCAAATCTAATTTGACAGGACCTACCGCACCAGATCGGCCAGTGTTTGGTAGCGTAGTGGTTACGAATCGGGCTGCGAACCACAAGGTCAGCAGTTCGAAAGTACCAACTGCTCCGCGGGAGAAAGAGGCTTTCTGCTCCCGTAAAGATTTACAGCCTCGGAAACCCTGTTCAGGGTCTCTATGGGTCGGAACCGACTCGATGGCACTTAACAACAACAACAACCGCACCAGATCGGGCAGTGTTTGGTTCTGCTGTGCACTAACAACAAAAAAACCACACCAGAAAAAAAATATGCCCTCTCTGCCCCAGCAGCTGTTACTCCATCACACTAAACTATCCACAAAGCAACTTTGTGTGGGCTGCTCTCCTTGTTAAAGAGCTCTCAGGGCCCTCAGATCCTGTGGGGAAATGAAATGAAACAAAGTCCCATGATATAACAAGGGCCTGTTGCCCTGAAACTGTTTCTTCCCCTCTGTGGGCATCCTACCACGCATCTCCATAGGAAACCACAAGCAGAACTGTACTCATTACTGTCTCTGCCTTCCCACCTCCAGGTCAGCTTCCCAGATGTGGAAAAGGCTGAATGGCTAAACAAGGTGAGAGGTTGATTGTCCTAATTTTTCTTTTTCATGAAGAGGGACAGGAGTGGGTTACTCCTGCCAAGTCCTGCCACATTCCAATTCTAGCCCCAGCCTAGTCCCCACTGTTCTCTGTGGGGAATATTCTGAGGGGATTTACCTTCAGAGGGAAGACTGGACTCTCTCTTTCTTCCCAGATTGTGGCCCAGGTCTGGCCATTTCTGGGCCAGTACATGGAGAAACTTCTGGCTGAAACAGTGGCCCCAGCTGTTCGGGGATCTAATCCCCATTTGCAAACATTTACATTTACACGAGTGGAACTGGGTGAAAAGGTATATGGCAGAGGGGAAATTCATGAGGAGATGGGATGAGTGTGGGGGAGAGTAGGGGGGTGGCGCAGAGGGGCTGAGAGATGCTTCTCCCTTTCCCCTCTCCCATTTCTCAAGACATTGTATCTCTCCAGCCACTGCGCATCCTTGGAGTCAAGGTTCACCCAGGTCAGAACAAAGAACAGATCCTACTGGACTTGAATATCAGGTAACAAAACTCACCAATCTTCCAGTCCCCCTCCAGCAGGGTCCTGGTCATTCCTGGCTCCTCCATTCTCCCTACTCCCCACTGCAACTTGGCACTAACCCTCCGTACTCTCTTCCTTATTAATCCTCAGCTATGTAGGTGATGTGCAGATTGATGTGGAAGTGAAGAAATATTTCTGCAAAGCAGGAGTCAAGGGCATGCAGGTGGGACAGGTGTCAGTGGCCCTTCAAATAGGGAGCCACTACCCTAAATGTCATGGGATGTGGGGAAGTGGGGGGGGGGGTTGAGAAACCAAGGCTGGGAAAATCTGTGGAGGGCAGAGGAGTATTTCTGGAGAAAAGCTTTGATCTTCCCTTCTTGCTCCAGCTACATGGTGTCTTGCGAGTAATCCTTGAGCCACTTATTGGAGACCTTCCTATTGTTGGGGCTGTGTCAATGTTCTTCATCCGACGCCCGGTAAGGGAAGAAAGGCATTCGGGGGGATGGGAAGGTAGGGGAAGCAGAGAGGACTGGGAGGCTGAGGGTGGCCAGCTATAGAAACAAAATTGACAAGAAAGCTGAGAGGTCTAGTAACTATTGGATAGGTATGACTCTGTCAACATGATCTGCCCTGATCCCACTGCTCTTTTTTCTAGACCCTAGACATCAACTGGACGGGGATGACCAACCTGTTGGATATCCCAGGTCTCAGGTATCTATGACTTAGTGAGCACCTACGAAGTGCTCCAGCCCTGGGTTGGAAGTTTAAGAGGTATAAAGCAGTGAAGGATGCAGCTGTGTCTTCCAGGAGCCTCTGCTCTAGTTGGGGAGATAAGACATACGCCTGTGGAACCTTCCATATTGTGGTTTTTCTTTGGGAGGAGGGTGACATGCATTTGGGTAGAGAATGAAGAGGGCTGAAGACTACTCTTCAGGGGAAAAAGAGAAAGAAAAGCTGGGGATAGCAATGAAGAAGGGACAACAGGTAGGGAATGAGGGTAGAGAGTAGCAGACTTTCCAAATCAACCAACCAACACAGTATTATCCAAGCCCAACTTCTGGTAACTCCAAGAGAGAAGCTGTTTGAGACAAGAGTCTCTTAGAACTCCAGAAATAAATCTCCCAGACTCACAGTTTATATTAAATAAATAAGAGCACTAGGCTTCTGCTGGCTATGGGAAGCAGAGTTGGAATCTGGAGGGCATTGGATGTTGGGGCCACGCTAACGTCCTTTTTTACTCCCCCTTTAGTTCACTCTCTGACACCATGATCATGGACTCCATCGCTGCCTTCCTTGTGTTGCCCAACCGATTATTGGTGCCCCTTGTGCCTGACCTCCAAGATGTAGCTCAGTTGCGTTCTCCTCTGCCCAGGGTATGGTTCCTCTCCCATTATGTCCTTCTCCTAGGACCCCTGGTGTGGCGCTGTACGATAAGGGACTAATTTAACTGCAAGGTGGCAGTTCAAACCCATGAGCCGCTCTTCAGAAGCCCTGAACAGGATCACTATGATTCAGAACAGACTAGACAATATTTAACAATAAAAACGGGACCCTTGTGCTGAGTCCTTAGTTTCTCACCATCTTATTTCTACCCTCAGGGCATTGTTCGTATCCACCTGCTAGCTGCTCGAGGACTGAGCTCCAAGGACAAATATGTGAAGGGTCTGATTGAGGGCAAGTCAGATCCCTATGCACTTGTGCGTGTGGGCACCCAAACATTCTGCAGCCGTGTCATTGATGAAGAACTCAATCCTCAGTGGAGAGAGACTTATGAGGTGGGAGAGATGAGAAGACCCTGAGAGGTCATGAGAGAAAATGCAAGATTGGATAATCTTCACAGTAGCAACCTATGAGAACCGTGTCCCTCTGTTTATCCAGGTGATGGTACATGAGGTTCCAGGGCAGGAGATAGAGGTGGAGGTGTTTGACAAAGATCCAGACAAAGATGACTTTCTAGGCAGGTGAGCCTCTGCTTATGTTAGGAGTGTAAAGAACCAAGGTTCAGGAGGAAATTAGGATCCTTCTACATTATGGGCCTTGGAATCATGGATCATTTTCTTTCCTCACTAGTCTCTATCTTCACTTCCTCTCTTTGCACTCACACACGCAACTATCTCCTGATGTAGGGAGAAGGAAGTCTGGAATCTGCCATTTATTTCTGGGTGGGTAAATGGAGGGCTGGAGTCCTGATGTGGCGCTGTGGGTTAATGTGCTGAATTGCAAAGTCGGTTTGAACCGCAAGGTCGGCAGTTCAAGCTCACCAGCTGCTCCTTGTAAACCCTATACAGAGTCACTATGGGTCGGAAACGACTCGTTGGCACTTAACAACAACAAAATGGAGGGCTAATGACATGCTCCTAATTACGACACTCTTCCTTTTTCCTTCTCATTGCTCACTCCCCCACCAGAATGAAGCTGGATGTAGGGAAGGTGTTACAGGCTGGAGTACTGGATGATGTAAGTGGGAAGAAAAGGAAGACGGGGAGTGGTCTCTCTCACTAAGCAGACAGTAGTTGATACTATGTTGTCAGGAAGAGCTTGAGTAGGTACTTGACCTCTGCCTTTCTCTACCTCTCTCTCTAGTGGTTCCCTTTACAAGGGGGACAAGGCCAAATTCACTTGAAGCTAGAATGGCTGTCACTTTTGCCAGATGCAGAAAAACTGGAGCAGGTAACCAGTAGGAGACACTGGAAGCTGGCGGGGGTGGGGGTGGGGTTGGGTAGGAGGTAGCTGAAAGTATAAAAGACTAGACAGGACCAAGGTCTAATTGGTACCACCACTTTCCCAGGTTCTGCAGTGGAATCGGGGCGTCTCCTCTCGACCAGAGCCCCCATCAGCCGCCATCTTAGTTGTGTATCTAGATCGGGCCCAGGATCTGCCTGTGAGTTTGGGTTCTACAGGTGGGGGAATGGGAAGGACTGGTATACATCCACAGTATCCCCACATCCTGTCTTGCTAAGAGTGCCAGTGCTCCTGCCCACTTGGCTTCATGAACTTGTAACACAGGCTCCTGAGGAGGAGGGGAGCTGAACTACTGTAGGAAAAAGATTCTGAGAAGACCCCCACCTCTTGTCACCAAAACAAAAATACCCAAGATGGTGACGTCTAAATTCTGTTCTCTGCAGCTGAAGAAGGGGAATAAGGAACCTAACCCTGTGGTACAACTGTCAGTTCAGGATGTGACCCAGGAAAGCAAGGTGAGAGCCAGCACATCACTGTGGGAGGTGTTATTATTGAGGGAAGGAGTATCCTTGGGTGAAGCCTCCCGTTTAGAACAACTGAATGTGTAAGAGTTTTCTAGATGACTGGGACTGGCACTGTGTGTACACTCTTAGCCCCAATCTCTACCTCTCTAGGCTGTCTATAGCACCAACTGCCCAGTGTGGGAGGAAGCTTTCCGGTTCTTCCTGCAAGACCCTAGAAGTCAGGAGCTCGATGTGCAGGTGAGATCATCCCCTAGCCAGCTTCCCCACTGCTTTGAAGACCCTATTTTATCTTTCCATATCTGCATCATTTTTTTCTATCTTTTCCTTGGAGTCACTCTATTTTCACTCTACTTACACTTCCCACCACCCTTCAGTGGCTTCACACTGCTCCCCACCTGTAGGTGTTTCTAAAGTAATTTTTTAAGTCTGAGTGAATTTTATAGTATATAAATGATGCCTCAAAAAAAGTCTTAAGACCTAGTACACACTGTATTATGAAGGTCATTAAAACCTGAAACACACTATCTGCCTTCAGAGAGCTCACTGTCTAGTTTCATAGACAAGATTGTTGTTGTTAAGTACTGTTGAGTTGGTTCTGACCCACAGCAACCTTGTGTAGGGTTTCCAAGGAGCAGCTGGTGGGTTTAAACTGCTGACCTTGTGGTTCAGCGCCTTATCCTGTAGCACCACACTAGGATTCCACAGACAATACATATAGATAGATAGGTAGATAGATAGATAGATACATACATACATAGGTAAAGCCATCTAAGAACAATTCAGTATTAACTGTTATTGTCAGTTGCCATTGAGTTGATTTGAACTCATGGCAACCCCATGTGTGCAAAATAGAATGGCTCCATAGGTTTTCAAGGGTGCAACTTTTTGGAAGCAGAACTCCAGGCCCGTCTTGTGTGGCATCTCTGGGTGGCTAAGCTTTCAACTTGCTTAACCATTTGTATGTGGAATAAGTACAGCCAGAATGCTCCTTAGAATCCAGGACAGTGAGACTTTGTCTGTCATACTTCAGACATACTATTAGAAGGAACCAGTCCCTGGGAAGAACATCATGCTTGGTAAAGTGGAGGGTCATCAAAAAAGAGGAAGACCCTCAACGAGATGGATTGGCAAGTGGCAGTAATAATGGACTCAAACGTAGCAACAATTGTGAAATTGGCACAGGGTTGGGCAGTGTTTTGTTGTTGTACATAGGTCGGAACCAATTCAATGGCCCCTAACAACAACAACCATTTATACTACCCAGGGACTCCTCAGTACTAACTGTTGTTGATTACTATAGTTGGTTCTGACTCATAGTGATATCATGAGACAGAGTAGAACTACCTTACAGGATATTCTTGACTATAATCTTTGTAGAAACAGATTGACTGCCAGATCTTTTTCCAGTTCTGTAGAACTGCTGCGTGGGTTCAAATCAACCTTTTGGTTAGCAACTGAGCACTTAACTGTTGCACTTCAAGGGTTCCTTCCAAAATTAACTTCTTGTTAAGTGTCATCGAGTTAGTTCTGACTCATAACGACCATGTAAGATATCCAACTGCTAACCTCGCAGTTAGCAGTTCAGTGTATATCCACACCAGGACTCCACCAAAATTAATTAGTGGGAGTAAAATACTCATAGCATACTATTGTGGAGAAAGGGACAGGTTGGAGTAGAGAGATTCTATGTGGGCTATTTTCAAAGTGTGGGAAAAAGCTATGATTGGAGAGATTTTGTGAAAAAAGTAGGATTCTCATTAGTCCTTAAAGGAAGTAAGATTTAAATAGGTAGGTGGAAGAAGAATGAAGATTTTCTAGGTAGTGGGAACAAAGTGAACAGAAGTGGAATGGAGCCAGCAGGGGATCTTGGAAAGATGGGCCTGAGTGGAATGGAGGCATGTGATTGGCCCAGTGAGGAATGTGGGGAGATCCATGTTGTAATTTCCCAGTCTGCTTCCCTTTCCCTGATCTCTCCACTACATTTCATCTGCTTCTTACAGGTGAAAGATGACTCCCGGGCCCTGACTTTAGGGGCACTGACGCTGCCTCTGGCTCGCCTGCTGTCTGCCCCTGAACTCATCTTGGACCAGTGGTTCCAGCTTAGCAGCTCTGGCCCAAACTCCAGGCTCTACATGAAAATAGTTATGAGGGTATGGAGATGGATGAGAGGGCTGAGGGGAGTTAAGAGTAAGGAAGAGAAATCTTCTAAGATGAAATGAGTTAGTATATGTGGAAGTACCTAGCAGTCACACAGAATGTTGATCCAACTAGGAGAGGGAATGGGATGTGAGTTGGGGGTGGGTGTGGAGGGAACCCTCTAGAGATGAGCCCAGTACAGACAGGGACCTGGTTTTCCTGCCAGGTCCCTGCTCTGTCCCTGAGCCCCCACAAACTGTCTCCTGGTGGCAAGTTGCAGTTCTTAATTCAGCGACCATTCGCTGGAGAAGGATGTCATGTTTGATAAGCTGGAGGGTCAGAGAAAAAGAGGAAGACCCCCAATGAGATGGATTGGCCAGGTGGCAGCATCAATGGGCTCAAGCATGCCAACAGTAGTGAGGTTGGCCCAGGATCAGGCAGTGTTTCGTTCTGCTGTGCATAAGGTCGCTATGAGTCAGTGCCGACTCGATGGCACCTAACAACAACAACAACAACTGCTTTCCCAGATCCTGTACTTGGATTCATCAGATGTATGCTTCCCCACTGTGCCGGGGACTCCTGGTGCCTGGGACCCAGACACTGAGAGCCCCCAGATAGGCAGCAGTGTGGATGCTCCACCTCGACCCTGTCACACAACTCCAGACAATCACTTTGGGACTGAGGTGAGTCTATATAGAGGACCAGGGTCTGTTTGCCTACTCTAATTGTGCAGAGTCTATTTCCTGTTGAGTTCTGACTGGCCCCTCTCTCCCTTTAACTGCCATCTGCTGCTCCCATCTGTCCCTTTTACAGAACGTGCTTCGGATCCATGTATTAGAGGCCCAGGACCTGATTGCCAAAGATCGTTTCTTGGGGGGACTGGTGAAGGGCAAGTCAGATCCCTATGTCAAACTAAAGTTGGCAGGACGAAGTTTCCGGAGCCGTGTTGTTAGGGAGGATCTGAATCCCCGCTGGAATGAGGTTTTCGAGGTCAGAATTGAGTGGCTGGGACTTCTCATCCTGTCCCATTTTTTCCCATAGCTCTGAGAATGGTCAAAAACCATCACGGGTTCAGTCAATTGGGAAAGTACAGTCATTTGAGGGAAGAAAAAAAAAAGGAATCCCCTTGTCTGCACTATTTTCTCCTACTAGGTGATTGTCACATCAATTCCAGGCCAAGCGCTAGATGTTGAGGTTTTTGACAAGGATCTGGACAAGGATGACTTTCTGGGCAGGTGAGAGGGAGGGAGTTCAAGTGGGGCCTCTGTAGACCATGGAATCTGGTCCAGGGGAGACAGAGACTTGGTTCTGACCATCTACCTCTGCCTTCATCTTTCATCTCTACAGGTGTAAAGTGAGTCTCACTGCAGTCCTAAACAGTGGTTTCCTTGATGAGGTGAGCGTGGGATTGGAATTGACAGTCCCTCCTGATTGCCCAACTCTCATTCTCCACAGCCCCCAAGTCCTCTAATCCTGTCTTCTACTTCCACAGTGGCTGACCCTGGAGGAGGTCCCATCTGGTCGCCTGCACTTGCGCCTGGAGCGTCTGACCCCCCATCCCACGGCTGCAGAGTTGGAGGAGGTAAGGAAGGAGACTGGAGGACGACAGGGTGAGCTCTTCCATCAGTTTCTTACATTTTTTTATTGTGAACTGAATGAAGGTTTACAGAGTAGACTGTCAGTTTTACATTCCACAAGTCTTATACTCCAAGGATTGCAGACCCCACAGTGTAACCAACATCCCTTATCCCACTTCCTCCCTGTGGTTCTTGTTTCCAGTCCCCCTCCTTTTCCAACCCTTCTCAATGCTCCCCTTTGACCTTGAATAGCTGACCATTGTATGGTATGTGTACCTCACTAGAATTGTTGTCCCCCTAAACCTTGATGCTTGTGGGGTTAGTTCAATTCCAGACCTGAAGGGTGACCGAAGACCATAGTCTCGGAGTTCAGCCATCTCTATCTGACACATTTTCTCTTCTATCAGTTTTCAAGGCATAGCCCCTGCTGCAGGCCCTCCTTCACAGCCACCCCTCTCCAGCCCCATGTGTCCTCTCCCAGGTGCTGCAGGTGAACAGTCTGATCCAGACTCAGAAGAGTGCAGAACTGGCAGCGGCCCTGCTGTCTGTCTACCTGGAGCGTGCTGAGGATCTGCCGGTGAGATAAGCTCTCTGTGCCCCTTGTCTCCCTGGCCCTCATCCTATCTTCCTCAGGTTGGGATACTCTTGATGTATCTGGAATAGTAATGGCCCCACTCTCCCAGGGTGATGCTGGGGTGGGAAGAACTGTCTGTCCTAGGCCACAAGGGTGGGGGCTACCAAGTGATAATGGGAACATGGCTGTTGGTTGTAGATCTGGTTTGCCTAATGAGCACCAAATTGAAGACTAACACAATGTTCTCTTTCTAGCTCCGAAAAGGTACCAAGCCTCCCAGCCCGTATGCTACTCTCACTGTGGGAGACACTTCTCATAAAACCAAGGTATCAGGAAATGCTACAAGGCAAAGAATGGGAAGGACAGAGGAGTAGAAGGGAGAATACCAACCACTGATCCTAATCCTTCATCTCCACCAGACTGTTTCCCAAACTTCAGCCCCTGTCTGGGACGAAAGTGCCTCCTTTCTGATTAGGAAACCCAACACTGAGAGCCTGGAGTTGCAGGTACTCTAGATATGTTAATTCTGCAAGTGTTTAGCAATTCCTGACTTGGGCCAGGCACTGAACTCAGCATAGGGCATTCAGAAAGATTAGATCTATTCTTTTTTTTCTGGAATTCATGTTTTATTTTGGGAGAAAAATAACCAGAGAATACTTTCAGACTTACTACTGAGGTAAAAGGCACTATGGGAGAAAATGGGGGGTTTCTAACTCAAGACTAGGGGAAAAGGTAGTGGTACTAAGAAAGGTGTTCTTATATGACTCCTGAGATTAAGGGTAAACAGTCTCTGACCAAGAAAAGAACAGAAAAAAAACACTTTAGGCTGAGTAAAGACTGGAGGGACAAGTTAACTGCAGATCTGAGAGGTAAACCAGAACAAGATCTTCAATAGTGTGCTGAAGATTTGGGCTTTTATCCTAAAGGCAGAGGGAGCGATCTGAAGGAGTGAGGGCTGACACACCCAGATTAACATTTCATAAAGGTCAAGGTCATGCTGACAGCAGGTAAAGAAAGGACTGGAGGCAGGTAGATCAGTTATAGAGACCATGAAAGTAACCCAAGCAAGAAATAACAGTGGACTAAAAGGAGGAGGAACATGGAACAGCCTAGATGGCGCCTAGGTTTCCCATTGAGTGATTGTATAGAAAAAAGGTGTCACTGCCAACACTGAGAATACACAAAGACAAGAGTGTTTGAATTGTTATCGCTAAGGGATATCCATGGAGTCCTGGTGTGGCGCTGTAGAACAAGTACTAGACCTCAAGGTCAATTTGAACTGCAAGGCTGGCAGTTCAAACTCACCAACTGCTCCTAGGAAACCCTATACAGTGTCTCTTTGAGTCAGAACTGACTCAGTGGGAGTTAACAACAAAAACAAGGCCCATCCAAGGGGAGACATCCAGAAAATGATCTACTGCCCATTGTAGTGTTCAGCTCTCTCTTCCTGTTTGAGCACCATGAACATGCAACAGGTAGCAAGTATAGCTGTGAGTGTGACTTAGGCCATGAGGTGAGTGAAAAGACACGGTGGGCATATGAAGCCTCTCAATATTCCAAGGGCAGACGAATGTTGACTTTGGAAACTAGTTGTTGTTGTTGTTAAGTACCGTGGAGTCGGTTCCGACTCACAGAGATCCTGCACAGGGTTTCCGAGGCTGTAAATCGTTACGGGAGCAGAACGCCTCATCTTTCTCCCACGGAACCACTGGTAGTTTCGAACTGCCGACCTTGAGGTTAGCAGCCTGATTCATAACCACTACGCTACCAGAGTAGTCACTGATTATTGGAGCAATTTCAGCGGCACGAATGGAGTAGAAACTAGTTAGTTCTCAATGGGTTTAAGGATGAACAAAAAGGTGCAGAGGTATCAGAAGCAGGGAGAAAGGATAGGTGAATGGCAATGTAGGGGTGTGATTTCTTCTTATGGAGTAGGGAGTCAAGAAATGCCTTCTAAAGTTTGACAGAATAATAAGTAGAGAATCAATCACATGAATTATAATAGAAACCAAGAGAATTAAGCATAATGTAAAGTAACACTAGCAAAGGTAGAGAGGAGGTATAACTGAGCTCAGTTCCTCATCTTTTATAATAGAGAATCAGTAGATGCTAACTAAAGTTGGTAAATATTTACAGATACAGGCATATTATTTAGGATTGTGCCAGAATGCGGGGGAAAAAAAGATGCTTAAAGATAAGTCACATTTGGAGCATGAAAATGGGGATTGGATGGGCTAAAAACATGTACTTGTAACTTAATTTCATTTTTACTGTTCTTTTCTCTATCAGTAATAATTATATAGGTATTACTGGTATAATTTGAAAAAGATTAGCAAATAAAAACAAGTGCAGTCTACTGGGTTGAGAAAGGAAGGAAAGTGGAACTAGTAACTGTTACCATAACTTCCCTGCCCGTCACCAAGAGGAGTCACTCACCAAAACCTTATTGTCAAAAGCATTTAGACTTTGACACCAAGACTACATCTGTTGCTGCATTGGCCTCTTGCTCACAGTCATGTTGCTCTACAGGTCCGGGATGAGGGAGCTGGCACTCTGGGCTCCTTATCGCTGCCTCTGTCTGAGCTTCTCGAGGCTGATCAGCTCTGCTTGGATCGTTGGTTTACACTGAATAACAGTCAGGGGCAGGTGCTGCTGAGAGCACAGCTAGGGGTGAGTTGCCAGGCAGTGCAGAGGGAGGGCCTTCACAGCTGATGGACCTGCCTGGGAGCCATCGAGAGCTCTGCCCACCTTACAGCCCTCTTGTCCATCCAGATCCTGGTGTCCCAGCACTCAGGAGTGGAGGCGCATAGCCACAGTTACAGCCACAGCTCCTCATCTTTGATTGAAGAGCCAGAACTCTCAGGGGGACTCCCTCAGGGCACTTCCTCAGCCCCAGAGCTCCGACAGCGTCTAACACATGGTGACAGGTAAGAAGAGGATGAGGTAGACAGATGGGGTGTAGTGAGGAATAAGAAATAGGCATTATTACCCTCATGGTTCCATTTTTAGCCAAGCAGTAAATAGATTTATGGTGGGGGTTGGGTACAACAACACTAACAAAGTATGCTCACCATAGAATGAATGGTCAATCATTCAAAATCAAAACGGCAAATTTTTCTTAAGGACAAAGTTGACAAGGGATAGGAAGGTGAGTGAAATGCAAGTAGAAACCACAGGGAGGAAGCGGGATGACCTTTGTTGTGTGGAGGGGATTGTAATCATTGAGATGAAACAAAGTTATATGATTTATAAAATGTAAAACTGATGATCTTGTCTTATAAACCTTTACTCAATTTGTAATAAAAAGCTTAAAAAACAAACAAAAAGGATGTGTTACAGCTTCCCTTGGCTCCACCTTCTGCCAAACCTCTTTCCATCTCTCCACAGTCCCCTGGAGGCGTCTGCTGGGCCTCTGGGCCAGGTGAAACTGACTGTGTGGTACTACAGTGAGGAACGGAAGCTGATCAGCATTGTCCACAGTTGCCGGTGAGACCCTGCACCTCCTGTACTCTAGGTGCTCTCCATCCTATCCCCTGGATTGCTTATTGTCCGCCTTTATTCTCCTTCTGCAGGGCCCTTCGACAAAATGGGCGGGACCCCCCTGACCCCTATGTATCACTGATACTACTGCCAGACAAGAACCGAGGCACCAAGAGGAAGACCTCACAGAAGAAGAGGACCCTAAATCCGGAATTCAATGAACGGTCAGTGGGCACTGAGGTGAAGAGATGACAGGCCTGGGGGGATGCCTTGCTTCTAACACTGAGCTCCTCCCTAGGTTTGAGTGGGAACTACCCCTGGATGAGGCCCTCAGGCGGAAGCTGGATGTCTCTGTGAAGTCCAGTTCATCTTTCATGTCAAGAGAGCGTGAGCTGCTGGGGAAGGTAAGAGGGCTGGGGTGGGCAGGGCAAAGGTGAGAGTGAGAAGCTGCTGGTACCAAGGCTATATAGTCCCTATTAGGGAGGAAGCAACCCAGGTGGTATTCTAGAAGGGACCCTACCACCTTTCCATGGTTTGGGACCAGGAGTGTATGCTAAAGGGATGTGTTCTTTGGAGATATCAAAATACCATCTTGCTATCTACCATCCTCCAATGCAGGTGCAGTTGGACCTAGCTGAGATAGACCTTTCCCAGGGTGCCGCCCAATGGTGAGTGTCTGGATGGGGGTGGGAAGGGTCTAGATATTTATTTAACTGGGAGAAATCCCAGCAATAGGAAGGGGGAAAGGAATACATTCTAAAGTAAGAACCATTGATTTTGAAGTTTAGGAGTCCTTGGATGGTGTCTCATTTATAGGAAGGTACAAGAGTCCTGTTGGGCACTGTACAATAAGCACTGGACTAGTAGCCACAAGGTCGGTGGTTCAAACCCACCAGCCACTCCTCAGAGACCCTATACAGGAACTGACTTGATAGTACTTAATAGTAACAAGAGTCATATTTCTACTTAAGCGTTTTCTCCTTGCTTCCATAGGTATGACCTCATGGAAGACAAGAGCAACTCTTAGGAGCTGGGATCACAGCCTGACTTTGCTCTGCCTCTTTGTCTTGCCTCTTGCTGCATCGCCACCTCGATGTGATGAGCCTAAAGCTACGGCCAGAGGGCAGCACCTGCGAACCATCAGCACTCTTACCTCCCAGGCCTATATTAGGGCCTTTGCCTGACCAAAGAGAAGGACCACGTATTACCCCTTTATTGCACGGCCTATATCCTTCTGAGCTCTTGGGGCAGGGATCTGAGCTGGCTGTTTTCTTGCTCTGCCTGCACTTTGTTCTCTTTCCCTCCTAGCTCCCCAGGGCGTTCTACCTGTGCCTGGCCACTGGCAGCACTAGCAGTGGCACATCAGCTTATGCCAAATAGAGCTTCTGGAAAGATCTCTTTCTTATTTAACTAAATGATCGCCTTTTTCCCTACCATGAGAAACCAAGTAGCATAAATGTGGGAGGGAAGGCCATGGCATTTTGGACTACTGCATGCAGTAGTAGATGGTCTAGGCCCCATATCAAGTTCTGTCCCCACTCTCCTCAAGCCTGTCCTGAAAACAATGCCTGCCGTGACGGCTGGGGCCAGTCTTGGGATTCACTTTGTGAAACAGGAGCACCTGGATTCTACCCAAGCCTCCAAGTAGCAGGGTCTAAGTAAGACTTAGAGCCTCTAACTGGTAATGTGCAGAGGGCCTTGGAGGACTTGGGGCAGCAGGGCCAATTTTTTGTCCAAGTGCCTAGGCTGTTAACTTACTGTCTAGAATGGAATCTGAATTTTACACTGAAACTCTGCCAATCCACTGTATCTTATAATAAACATTATACTCAAACCAGCCATGGGTCTTTTCCTTAAGCACAGAGTCCAACCTACCCATCAAATGTTTATTCCGGTAGTCAAACACCTTTGTTCAACACATCAATAGTGAATCGTGTCAGTTAAATTGGTGGCCAGATCCTTCCGGGATGTAGCCACTAAGAATATAGATTTCCACTGAGGATAGTTGAGGGACCTGTGTGAAACAGCAACTGTTGAGTTTCAGGTGAAAATCATTCCTGGTCACAGTGACGCTTATTACCTATCCAACTTGTCTACTGACCATATAGTCTCATGAGTTTTCTACGGAAAGGATTCAGACTTGGAAAAACCTTGAATCTTGGTGCCACAGCACAAACTCTAAGTGTAATCAGTGCCATTAGGGCATATTCAGCAATACTCACAAAGGTACCAAGCCTACCCAACAGGCAGCTCGATGAGAACTAGTTTCTGTATACTAGTTTCTACCAATACAGATTGCTCACCACGAACTCTGCTCCTTTGAAGACCCTTCTGGAATGCAAGCTATAGAAGCTATGCTTCATCACTTCTAACTTCCAAATGAGAGAAGTATGAAAATGGTTACTGAAATAGGTAATAGGAAGTCAAAAGTTTATCTCATTAGATGTCCCATGCATCTTATTTGCATTATCAGGCTGTCCAATCGCCCTGGTGAGCCACAAGCACCTTATTTGTATAGCTTTATCCAGTCATTTTGAAAGTTACAAGACCATAGCTAGAAAGGCCATATTAAAGTAATTCACTAGACCACAAGATTTTTTAAATTTTATACACTTTCACCTGGTGTGGCACTATACTATAAGGTCGGCGGTTCAAACTCACTAGCTGCTCCTTGGAAACCTTTACAAGGTCCCTGAGTTGAAACTAACTCCACAGTATTTAACAACAACAAACCCAAAAATGTGTTTGTTAACTATGGACAAAATTTTTCCTACTTTGTTATAGATTTTCCTGCTTATTTCCTGTCAGACTACCTATCACCTGTCATTTCTTATCTATTGTCAGTAAGCCTCTATCCAGTAGCAATACTACAAAATCCTACAAAATGCTAATTTTTCTTTTCTAAGGCTGAAAGAAAAACGTGGCATCAGGATTGACGGAAGACTCATTAACAACCTGCGATGTGCAGATGAAACAGCCTTGCTTGCTGAAAGTAAAGAGGACTTAAAACATTTACTGATGAAGATCAAGAGACCACAGCCTTCGGTACGGATTACATTTCAATGTAAAGAAAAAAATCCTCACTACTGGACCAATAAACATTCTTATCAACGGACAAAAGATTGAAGTTGCCAAAGGACTTCATTCTTCTTGGATCAACTATCAACACTCATGGAAGCAGCAGTCAAGAAATCAAACAATGTATTGCATTAGGCAATCTGCACAAGACCTTTTTAAAGTGTTGAAGAGAAAAGGTGTCAGCTTGAAGACTAAGGTGTGCCTGCCCCAAGCCATGGTATTTTTAATAACTTCATATGCATGTGAAAGCTGGACAGTAAATAAGGAAGACCATAGAAGAATTGATGCATTTGAGTTTTGGTGTTAGAGGAGAATATTGAAAGTGCCATGGGCTGCCAAAAGAACCAATAGATCCATGTTAGAAGAAGTGTAGCCAGAGTGCTCTTTGGAGGCCAGGATGGCCAAACTTCGTCTCTAGTACTTCAGACATACTGTCAGGAGGGACCAGTCGCTAGAGAACGATAACATGTTTGATAAGGTGGAGGGTCAGAAAAAAAGAGGAAGACCCCCAATGAGATGGATTGGCTAAGTAGCAGCATCGATGGACTCAAGCGTGGCAACAATAGTGGGGTTGGCCCAGGATCAGGCAGTGTTTTGTTCTGCTGTGCATAAGGTCGCTATGAGTCGGTACTGACTTGATGGCACCTAACAACAACAAGAAGAAGGGTGGAATTCAAGTAAAGATTATGAAACAGGGAGCTAGGTAAATAATACTTCAAGTACAAAGGTAAGACTGCCCTAGAGAACTAAAAACCAAACGAGTGGGATGATTAGGCAAGTAGGATAAACCAATGACAAAAAGTACAAAAAGTAAAAAGGCTCTAAGAATTGGTGTGTTGCCATAGGATAATGCACTAGACTGCAAGGTCGGTTTGAACCATTCACTAGCAGCTGCTCAGAAACCCTATATGGGGTCCCTGTAAGTGGGAACCGAATCAATGGCACTAAACAAGAATTGACTGGACAATGGGATGGGATGAGTGGGAGGAGAAGAGCTGAAGCACTCTGACAGTCCCCTCCTTCCTCTCATAAATAAACCTTTCCACTGTGCCCACTTGTAACCTAGTTCTAATACCACCAACTCTACCCCTTTTACAAATTTTAACTTTAGTCACACAGCTCACTCTAACCTCCCCTGAAACCTGGCTCACCTCCCAAGAGACATCATTCATCTGTAGCAGCTTCCAGGGGAGACAGCTCCCCTCTTAAACTTCATGTATTTCAGGCTAGAATGTGAGGTCTGTTTTCTCTTTGCTCTTCATTGCTACTTCCCATTCTTAAACTTATAGTAAAAATCTCACTTCCTTGGAAATTGATGCCAATTTGATATTCTATCTCTGGCTTCTAACCTGTCATCCACTAAATATGAGGGTAAGTCAAAAAGTATTGCTACAGAGTTATTAAAAACCTTTATTAAACAAAAATAACAAAATGTGAAACCATTGTTTCTCCACATACCCCCCATCTAGGCACTGAAGGTAGTGTTTTCATCTCTCTAATCCTTTCCTACCACCACTCATCAGTCAGTTGTTGAACTGTGGAGGTTTGTGTGTTGCTGTGATGCTGGAAGCTTTGCCACAGGCTATGTTAAATACCAGCAGGGTCACCCACTGTGGAAAGGTTTTAGCTGAGCTTCCAGACTAAGAGAGACTAGGAAGAAGAAGAGATGGACTACTTCCGAATATTCAGTCACTGAAAACCTATGAATAGCAGTAGATCGCTACCAGATAGCACCAGAATACTGAATATTGAAACATAATAACGAGCACCTGAATATTGTCAGCTATAATGCTTGAAGATGAGCCCCTCAGGTTGGAAGGCATTCAAAATGCAACTAGGGAAGAGCTGCCTCCTCAAAGTAAAGTTGAACATGATGATATGAAATGGAGTAATGCCTTTGGGACCTTCATTTGCTGATAGGTCACAACCCAAAGAGAAACAGCTGTAAACATCCATTAATAATCAGAACATGGAATGTAAGAAGCATAAAACGAGGAAAATTGGAAATTGTCACAAATGAAATGGAACACATAAACATCGATATCGTAGGCATTAGTGAGCTGATATGGACTGTTATTAGCCATTGTGAATCTGAAAATCACATGGTTTACTATGCTGGAAATGACAAATTGAAGAGGAATGGTGGTGTATTCATCATCAAAAAGAGCATATCAAGATCTGTCTTTTGAAGTACAACACTGTTTGTGATAGGATATGATATCCATACACCTACAAGGAAGAACAGTTAATACACTACTATTCAAATTTATACACCATCCACTAAAACCAGTGATGATGAAATTGAAGAATTCTATGTTTGATCAAACATGCAATCAAGATGTATTGATAATGGTAGTAGAAGAAATAAAAGATGAATCCACAAAGTTCCTAGAAATAAATGAGAATAAAAACACAACATAACAAAATCTTTGGGACATGGCAAAAGCAGTGCTGAAAAGACAATTTATTGCAATAAATGCACACATCCAAAAAGAAGAAAGTACCAAAATCAACACATTAGCACAACATCTCCAACAATTAGAAACGGATCAGCAAAGCAAATTTACAGTCATCAGAAGAAAAGAAATAATAAAGATTAGAGCAGAAATAAGTGAGATAGAAAACAGAAAAACTATAGAAAGCATCAACAAGACAAGAAGATAGTTTTTCAAAAATATTAATAAAATTGGAAAACATAACAAAAGAAAAGAGGGAGAAGATACAATAATATGCATAAGAAACTACATGTGTGATGTCACAAAAGAACTAACAGAAATGAAAAGGATAAGAGTTATACTCCAACAAATTAGAAAATCTAGAGGAGATGGATACATTTTTAGAAAAACACTATCTAAACTTACACAGAGTGAAGTAGAAAATTTGAACAGACCCATAACAAAAGAAGAAATTGATCAGGTCCATCAAAGAACTTCCAACCAAAAAGAGCCC